CCTGGATGCATGTATTGGGGGGAAGGCAGATTTGCAGCTGTCAGCAAGCTTCTCCCATATGGCCTCGTGGGCCGGTGTGGGCTGTGCGTCGGTTTCTTTACTGTAGTAAGGTTTGGTTGTGGCAGGCTTCTGGTGGTATCTTTCTCTGCCCTTCTCTTGTTGGGATGCCTGGCTCGCTGTCTTAGTGAGCTGGGACTTTTAAACCGCCATTTTCGAGCCCCCTGTATCTAAGGTGCCATGCGTTTGCCGCATGGTCGTGCTGGTAGCTTGTGGGGTAAGCCCCCTCTCCCTTCCGGCAGCCGGACCCGCTGTCTGAGTTCCAACTTTCTCCAGAAGGCATCGAACAAGCTGGCTTCGAGGTCCCAGTTTGTGTGCGGGCACGTAGCGTCCGCCATTTTCAGTTTTTCCGTGGCTGTCTGCTGTTCGATCGGTGACTGCTTGTAAGGCTTGGGGAGTGAGGATGCCTCCCTGGAGTGGACCGGGATCAGGACCCCAGCGAATCCGCACCGCCGCTGGCAGGTCGAGGAGAGCGGCCGTCCCTCCCCCCCTGCCGTCTGCAGGCCGGGGTTGAACATCTCGGGCACACAAACAGCACCCTCACACACAGCACCCTTACACGCACAACACCCTCAAACCACCCTCACACAGCACACACACATACACACAGCAGTTGTGGGGTACATTGACATTGTGGCAGGCTTATGCAATGTATGATCATATAATGTAACTAAACCCCCATTATTTTTGCCTAGATTAGGTGTTTTTAAAAAAACTAATAAAATCTTTCAACATTGAAGTTGCTGTTTAGTGGATCGGCGAGTGCGCTGGATCTTGTGTTTTGTATTATTTGGCCCCCAGCAGCACCCCCATTTATGCATGTTTAGGTGAGTGCAGCCAACCCCCCCTTGTTTCATATGTATATATTTGGGAGTCTAGCCAACTCATTGGTTTTGCACCCCTCCCTGTCACAGGTGCCTCATCCCAGGGCCCTATTTAGCCTTGTACTGCAGAGAGCCCCAGATGGAATTTTTTTCCTCAAGTAAGTGGTTAATCTCATAAGAGCAGACATTAGGCTGTTAGTGTAGGACCTGCCAAAGATGGGATACATTGACGTTGTGGCAGGCTTATGCAATGTATGATCATATAATGTAACTAAACCCCCATTATTTTTGCCTAGATTAGGTGTTTTTAAAAAAACTAATAAAATCTTTCAACATTGAAGTTGCTGTTTAGTGGATAGGTGAGTGCGCTGGATCTTGTGTTTTTTTTATATATATATATATATATATATATATACACACACACACATACATACATACATACATACATACATACATATACACACGGCATGTGTTTGTGCTTTAGGGTGCACACCCTAATGCAATAGGCTGCGCACGCCTATGCATGGAAAAGGTTAAAGGAACTTAACATGTATAGCTTGGAGGAAAGACGAGACGGGGGGATATGAGAGAAACCTTTAAATACATAAAGGGAATCAACACAGTAAAGGAGGAGACTATATTTAAAAGAAGGAGAACTACCACAAGAGGACATAGTCTTAAATTAGAGGGGCAAAGGTTTAAAAATAATATCAGACTACGCAGACCCAAGCACCTACCTCCTACAGCAGAGAGAGATGTAGTTGCAAGAATTCATTTTTTCCACGCCAAAGAAAAAATTATGAGAGCCAGTAGGGTCACAAGCCTGCCTGATAAATACAAATCTATAAAAATTTTTGCAGACCTGTCGGCTGACACCCTGCATTTTCGGAAATCTCTGGCACCCATCACCTCAATTCTGAGAGAACAGAACGTGAGCTACCGCTGGGGATATCCAGCCAAACTCCTGATTTCTCATCAAGACGCGATCCACATGGTTACAGATGTGACTCACGGCATTCGCAAGCTGAAGGATTGGGGCCTGCCTCTCCCACCCATTGGACCAACAAAGTCGGCAAGAATCCCAAGATTGCAGCCGGAATGGTCGACCAAATGAAGCACCTGTGATACACGTAACTATATAGCACACACACCTCTACGAATAATAAAACAGACTGATATAAGACTTTATAATGCCAAAGACACTCTCGTTCCAGAAAATGGTACTTATATTAATTAACATGGGCACTACAAGCTCTAGACTCATCAAATCAGCAGCATATACAGCTGGTTAGATTTAGACTCTGCCCAATGCGCAATTTGTATTACATGAAGGAATGGACTGCGCATGAGATGTTGTTAGCTACAGACACCTTCACTGCGCTTATCCAGAGAGGGTGTGTCACAAGTACCACAGAATTATATTGGTTATTTTACTGTATGTTCATGTATTAACCACTTAACTAGTTTGTAAGTATTTAGCTTGACATTGCTCTGAGGTCTCTAGGTGAATGACCGACATGTTAGACGGACTCACCTGCACCCCCCCCATTACCCGCATCTACTGGCTAGATTGCGGAACGAGGCCCCAGTTATGGGAGCTTTACTGGGTACACCACCCACAACCTGTTTCGACCCATCTTTATCCCCCCTGTACCACCCCACGACATGCAGTACACATGTTACACCCTCAACTGGAACATTCTCGCAAGCATTACCACCACCTGGCATACAATAACAACCCCAGGATACTATTACACATGGTTGGGACAAGACTTAGCGTGTTGGGCTCTAGAAATCCTATTAACCCACCATGAAAATTTTGACTTATAATGTAAAAGGGTTGAATACCCCAGGTAAAAGAAGCCTCTTGTTACAAGAGCTTAGGAAACAAAAAATCGATATAGCCTGTGTCCAGGAGACACATCTTAAAAATACTAAGATCCCCGAATTGTACACCAAACACTTTCCAACCCAATATCACGCGGTCTCGATAAATAAAACCAAGAGGACGTCCATTCTAATCCACAAAGATGTGGCGTTTATAGAACAGGGAAAACTAGTGGACCCACAGGGTAGATATATCATTTTGACAGGCCTCTTCAATAACGCTCAGTACACCCTGGTCTCGGCATACTTCCCTAACACAGGTGCAGAGATATTTCTCCATCGCCTCATGCAGAAAATTGACCAACACAAACTAGGGGGACTAATCCTCTGTGGAGACTTTAACTTTATCACGTCTCCTGAGGAGGACACAACAGCACTCCCTCAGGGCGCAAGGCGAAGACAAATGGTATCAACATGTAAAATGTTAAATACAAAACTTACATTACACAATTTATACGATAGCTGGAGGGTCCTCCACGCTGGTGAGAGGGACTACACGTTCCACTCGAGAGTACACAACACTTACACCCGGATTGATACCTTTTATGTAGACCAACAAACGCTAGCACAGGTTTCGACTTGTACTATTGGTGACATAACCTGGTCGGACCACAGCCCTGTATACCTAGAGCTCTTCGACTCTTTCCAATTCAAGGGGAGGGGGACGTGGCGGTTAAATGAATCATTATTACGAGACAACACATTCATACAACAGGTGAGGACGGACTTAGCTGACTATTTCCAGACAAACTCTGGGGGAGACGTGTCTGACCAAACCGTGTGGCTCGCACATAAAGCGGTGGCGCGAGGCCTCTTCATTAGACGCTCCTCACATCTCAAGAAACATAGACAAAAAACCCAACTAGAATGCCAGAAACTGCTAGCAGTAGCGACGACCCAAAACAAATTGAACCCATCTCCGGCGCTAGCTAAACAGGTGCAAACCCTAACAAGTCAATTAACAGAACTGAATGCAGCGAAAACAGCCTATTTTTTACAAAGGTTGAGGGCAACATCCTACCACCATAGTGGAAAAGCTACAAAATACCTAGCCAACCGCCTAAAGGCGAGACTGGCAACGTCCAAAATAGCCCACCTACATACCGCGGCGGGTAAAAAGATACAAAACCCTATGGAAATAACACAAGAGTTCGCTAATTATTATGCTGCCCTCTACAACCTGGGGGATCAGCCTGGCGTGGCCCCCTTAGAGGACGCTTCGATTCGCTCCTACTTAACAGGGCTCCCCCTCCCGAGGCTGGACCAGACCCAACACTCCGCACTACTGGAACCAATCACAGTAGACGAAGTCCTGGACACCATCAAACAGCTGCCCGCTGGAAAGTCTCCGGGGGCTGATGGTTTGTCCAATCTGTACTACAAAACATTTGCAGATATACTTGGCCCATGGCTGATGCGGACGTTCCAGACGGCGACGGACACGGGCCAACTCCCCTCCGAGATGCTCCTAGCCACAATAGTAACCTTGCCCAAACCCGGGAAACCCCCAGATCAATGCAAAAATTTTAGGCCCATATCACTGCTAAACTCGGATGCCAAGATCTATGCTAAGATACTAGCCACCAGAATGAGTAAAATTCTTCCAACACTGATACACGATGATCAAACTGGGTTCGTGCTGGGGAGGCAGGGGACGGACAACACCAGAAAGCTATCCCTGGTGTTGGAAAAGATGCGGGGGGCCGGTCCAGGGAGTCTACTACTGGCCTTGGATGCTGAGAAAGCCTTTGACCGCCTGGGCTGGCCCTTCCTCCGCCGGGTGCTGGAAAGGTTCGGATTCCCACACCAATTCATCACCCCTCAGCCCAAGTCCTGCAAGCGGGGTTTTTGTCCACGCCGTTCAAAATTACGAATGGCACGAGACAGGGGTGCCCCTTGTCACCCCTACTATACGTACTAGCCTTAGAGCCATTACTTGCAGCGATCAGAACCCACCAAGCAATAGACGGGGTAAATTGGCATGGGCGAACGATAAAAATTAGCGCATTCGCGGACGACATCTTGCTGTACATTACAAATCCTGTCAAATCCCTACCTAACATAATGAAACTCATCAAGGAGTACGGGGCGCTGTCCTATTACTCTCTAAATGCCACAAAAACACAAGCATTAGGTTTCCGCCTGGACTCACAAGTCCTGACAAAACTGCAGAGAGAATACCCATTCGAATGGAGAACTGGGAACATAAAATACCTGGGACTAACATTCACCAAAAACCCAAATGATATGTTTCCTTCCAACTATAACGGGGTCTGGAAAGACTGCTCCGGAATCCTGAAGGGCTGGGGACACATTTTCTTATCCTGGGCGGAGCGCATAATAGCACTTAAAATGTCCATATTGCCAAAACTCCAATACGTATTCAGGAACCTCCCATGGAAAGCACCAAACTCATATTTCAAGAATATACAGGCAAAAATGTTACAATTCACTTGGGGCACAGGACGGGCGAGAATCTCTCAAAAAGTATTAATGGCCCCCGCGTGTAAAGGCGGGATGGCGTTCCCACATGTCAAAACATATCACCAAGCTGCGATACTGGCATCGCTGCTTGCACATCTTACCATAAAGGGCCAACCCCAATGGGTACACATGGAAAATCAAGCCATAGCCCCCCTCCGAGTCTCTAACCTAATGTGGCTACGGAAAACCATTAGACCAACTACAACGACCATGCCATCACAACTTAGCCTAGCACTAAATATCTGGGACCAACACAGATCGCACTTTGAATCGCAGTGTCCACTGTCTCTAGCAACCCCTACTGAGGCACTTACGTATTGTATCCCCACATTCCATGCAACGCCATGGAAAGACAGGGGAGCCACCCACCTAGCCCACCTATACAAAAAGGGCAAACTGCTGCCCTTTCTGGACCTGCGCCGCCTATACAACATACCACCCACATCTCAATACTCACACATCCAGCTACAATCCTTCTTACACAAGCACAATAGAGAACAAGCACAAAAACACGACGGAGGTGAAGAACTCTCGACCTGGGAAAAAATAGGGATTACAGGGATACCCCCACCCAAATTTAAACCACTATCTGAATGCTACAAAAGTATCCACTCATACCAGCCGTTCCATGGCTCTATCCAGGCACAGCACTGGTCCACGGACCTGAATGTTAACATAACAGAACACAAATGGAAACACATAGCAACATCAGTGAGAAAATTGGTGAAATCAGCCCCTCTTCTTGAACAATACCAAAAAACAATCTATAGGTGTTATATGGTGCCCACTCGCCTACACAGGCTGTATCCCCACTCGCCCCCAACCTGCTGGAGATGTGCTGGAGACTTGGGCTCAGTACTACATATTTGGTGGAGATGCCCTAAACTAGAGAGGTACTGGAAGGAAGTACGACAACTTATTACCCAAACTACTAAAACGGACATTGCCCTAGAGCCCTCGACATTTCTCTTACTGGACACTCCCCCTGACTTGCCTGCCACGATAAAGAAATTAATCTATCATATATTACTGACAGCACAGAGAGTAATAGCGAGGTCCTGGAAATCTACCAGACCCCCGAGCGTCTCCCACATTATACAAGATGTAAATAAACAACAAATCTATGAAACGCAATACTCTGCTACACACACAAAAACGCAGCGCTGGGGGGGAGCATGGGAGTTGTGGAGCTCCTGGACACAAAAGACTACAAACCACCTGGCACAACAACACCACTAAGACATCATAGTAACCTCCACACAGGGAGCTAGTTGACATGGGGACAGTACACACATAGCCCAATTGGTAGATATATAAGGAACAGCCACAAGGCGGGATAAAGAGGCAGGAAAGGACACCTGGCAGAGCCAGGATAAGACATGAGGGGGCAACAGGATGATTGCAGGAAACGCTAAAAGATTGGTCGACAAAATGCTAGGAGCGGTCAAAGTCAATAGATGTGTGTATGTAGTATAATCCTCAGCCCACTGGGGACTGGCATCATGTATGACCTTGAACTACTAATATTTGCCTGACAACTCGATTAGTATAATTCTTGCTGGGAATGGAATATGTATCTATAATGTAACTGTGTGTCGCCCCCCCAACCCCTTCTTTTCTGTACCCTACCCTCCCCCCCCCTAACATTATGACATGTTGAAACTCAATAAACTTCAAATTTCAAAAAAAAATAATATCAGGACGTATTACTTTACTAAGAGGGTAGTGGATGCATGGAATAGCCTTCCAGCTGAAGTGGTAGATGTTAACACAGTAAAGGAGTTTAAGCATGCGTGGGATAGGCATAAGGCTATCCTAACTATAAGATAAGGCCAGGGACTAATTAAAAGTATTTAGAAAATTGGGCAGACTAGATGTGCCGAATGGTTCTTATCTGCCGTCACATTCTATGTTTCTAAATATTAGTGAACAGTAAAACGTATCACGACACTTATATCGTCAGTGAAAGTGTGTGTATGTAAAAAATGCAAAAAACTTCACTTTCACTGACAATATCATTGTTGTGATGTGTTTTACTGTTTTGAAACACTAATATTTGTGATTAGCGAAGCCTCCCGAGGAAAACAGTACAACCGATGTACAGGTTTTATGGTGTCTTGGACAGTTACAGGGTTAAATATAGTGCTAGAAAATTAAATTCTCTGGCATTTCTGCCTGGGTTATCCTTAAAGCGACATCACACTGTATTAGATAAATCTCACTGCCCCTCCTTTGTTCTCTGACATCACACACCAAGCTGTGATGTCATTATCTGTACCACAGTATGTTTCACAAATTTCTGTAATATCAGAGGTCATATTGTTACAGCGGCTCATAAAAGTACTGCATTTTATACCTCTAATTAAGGAAATCGATTCTGACGACATTTAGAAAAGTTCTCAAAGTATAATTGCAACCAGTGTACTTAATGCTGTGAGATTTGTCATTCAAAGACTTTAAACCCATCATGATTTATTTTTATATTTTAGATGAGCAGCTTAATGAAAAGACTATAGATTATGAACTTATTTAATGTTTGGTGGCAGAGCAAATACAGGTTAAGTGCTTGTTAGCCATTATTGTTAAGATGGCTACAGAACGCTATTATTTAAAGGGCTACACACAGCCATTGTTATTATTAATATGGCTGCAAACAGACGTTATATATGGATCTAAGGGTAGGGAGCAAAGCTCTTTCAGAGTATGACTAGTCAACTAAGTTAGGAGGTAGGGCAGGATGACGATACAAGAATGGAAAAAGGGAGCCAGACTGGCGAAGGTTTAGCAGGCGGAGGAAACGAGGAAGAGACAAGAGAGAAATAAGAAAACAGTTTACACACATAACACCACCACAAGCAAGTACGAAACAGGCTGGATCCCTGGATTCCCATGGGTTTTCTACACATTTTGATTAAACCTTTTCAGAAATCAGAATGTGTCAGACCAAATGACATTTTTTGGAGTCTTATCTACAAAAACAAAAAATTCTAAACTAAACTAAATCTCTCGGCCATGTCTGCATTGCATTATAGAGTTGAAGACAATAATTGACTCCTTAGCCATTTGTGTGACTGGGTATTGGTAACTAATAACAGCCAGTTATCAGCAAAAAAAAAACAACAAAAAAAAACAAGCCAAACAGAAACAAACCAAAACAGCAAGCAGTTTGGCTACGAACGATCACGGTCTGTCACTGCTGGCTGAGAGAGAAACTCCTGCTGTCAGATAAAATTAGTATGATGAAATGAGTTATATTTTCTCTATAGATCACATATGAAGAGGAGGTTTTTATTGTGAATAGCGAAGGCTGTGACTGGTCTCCCATGGTCATAATGCGTTATTATGAAATACAAGCAGTCAGCGAATGTACAGCGCTACGGAATCTGATGGCGCTATATAAATAATAAAATAATAATAATAATGTATGGCACTAACCCTCCCCTGCACCCACTACAGCCCCTATCCATCCCCAAAGCCCATGATAGCACCTCCAGCCTCTAACCCTCCCCTGCACCCACTACAGCCCCTATCCATCCCCAAAGCTCACTATAGCACCTATCCCATATTATCCCCTGCACCTCCAGCCTCTAACCCTCCCCTGCACCCACTACAGCTCCTATCCATCCCAAAGCCCACTGTAAGCACCTATCCCATATTATCCCTGCACCTCGAGCCTCTAATGCCTCCTGCCCTGCAGCCCCTATCCATCCCCAAAGCCCACGATAGCACCTATCCCATATTATACCCTGCACCTCCAGCCTCTAACCCTCCCCTGCACCCACTACAGCCCCTATCCATCCCCAAAGCTCACGATAGCACCTATCCCATATTATACCCTGCACCTCCAGCCTCTAACCCTCCCCTGCACCCACTACAGCCCCTATCCATCCCCAAAGCCCACTACAACACCTATCCCATATTATCCCCTGCACCTCCAGCTTCTTACCCTCCCCTGCACCCACTACAGCCCCTATCCATCCCAAAAGCCCACTATAGCACCTATCCCAAATCATCCCTTGCACTTACTACAACCCCTCCCCACCATCCCCCCCACCCGGTATTGCTCATAGAGATAGAGTCCCCACTGCTCTGAAAGCTGCAACGATAAAACGTAAAAGTATAATCTCCCCCAAATGGCTACATCCTGAATCTTAAATACTTACTGTTTTTATCAGTGAGCCGCAGTGGAAGAATTAATGAGTGATTCATCTTGCATGATTGAGTAATTTGAG